GAAACGATTCTTCTATAAAATACCAGCAGTCGATCAGGCTCTATTTTGTACTGGGCCGAGTGGGCCGAGCATTTCTCATTGAAGATATGACAGGGAGAATATCAGTAATTTATTCACAGAAATTGAGGCTGGGTGTAAAAATTATCTAAATTCGATGAGAAAAAAACTTGCTCTGTTCCAAATTTAGACGCGTTTAGTATTTCCTGACGATTTCTTAGAAATGTCCGTCTGTCTTTTCTCCCTCCCCTTCAATCTAATAAGTTTACTTGCAAGGCGTTATTGTGATGATGGCTCTTTTCAGGAGCGTCAGAACAGAAATGAAGAAGCTTTTTCGCAAACAAAAATCCAAAACACGGATTGTGGCCTCCCTTGATCGATCAATAAGTGCACTACGACAAAGACAAGGCCTATGAAGCAACAATTGAATAAGTTTTAGATAGAGTAGACTGTAAGTACTTTTGACCAACTACAACGACCATCAGAGCTTCCATGTATTGAGGCATTCTTGATTTGCTGAGCTTGACTACAGTACGGCACGTGAAGCATCCACAATGAGGAGTGCGCCCGGGTGTGGGTAATGATCAGCACACGATATGCCCCTTGATCTTTGCATTGGAAAAAAGACAGCCAGGGTCGTACCGAGAAGTTGGTAGAGCGGTAAAATGGCCTCAAAGTCGTACAGGTGTATTCCATGATGCACACAATGATTGACCAAAAGGCTATTTCAATGCAAGTCCGTGCACTGGTGCATGATATCCGTAGGTGGATTAAAGGACGTCAGGTACGTCTTGTGCGAAATTCCCTCCAGACAATGGTCCAACCATTGAAGCTTGTAGTGATATCGAGGCCTTATGAGACCGCGGACACAAGACTCAATCAGGACCAACGATTAAGGGGACTGTGACTGTGATAGACCTTCTTTCGGAATATGTAGCCGCACACCAGACAGATACAGCAGACACATCGACTAAAGCCATCGCTGGAACATTCTTCAAAGATGGATAGCACACGGGTATCGATGGCCAAAAACACTTTTATCACGCAGGTATCCGCCGAAACAGGTCGACGAGTTCTCAAATAAGACTGGTGTTGCCATAATTAGGTGATCTACTGTAATATGATACATACGAGCTGGGTCAATAGGTTCCCATTTTGCATGTTGACATACAATAGTGTGTCACACCAGGCAACCAGGAAAAGCCCATACTTTTCACTTCACAACACGTGCCCAGTTTTTCAGACGTAACAGGCAGGCATAAGCTGGTATTCCATAGTCGCATGAATTAATATTCCTGTAGCCTTGAAGAAAATACAAAGCAGAATCCCTGCAGGCAAAGGCGGAAATCCTTAGAATCACGAAAGAAATAATGTAAATATCATGATAGAGAGAGAGCTACCACGACTCCACAAAAAAGGCCGAATGAGAAGCATTCTCAAAAAGAAGAGACTGTGTGAATATTCTTCTTGGAGGGAAAGTGCTACAGACACATCCCAAGTTAGCAAACGAGTGGTTAACACTATTACGTGTAATTTTGGTCAGTGAAAACTCGGTGCGACTCGAAAACAGGTATATACAGACAATTTATGTGGTGCAGTGTAAACGAATGTCTTGTGGAAAGGTCATATCCAGTACCAAGAATCACATTCTAAAAGGACACAGCAAAATGTCAGCTGGCGACATATAGAAAGCCTTCAAACAGCGTCACTAGTCACAAGTAAGAAACCGTCCCGCAGAAAAAATGCGTTTCCGAAGGATGACGTCGTATCCCGGGTCTATTCAAAGTGTATTTTGATGCTGGCACAACCTGCCTGTACCAATTGGGCAGAGTTCAGGACCTTATCCACAACCAAGCATGAAGTTATAGAGATCAGTTCTTCTATAAATTTGTAGAAGGGGGCTTTCGATAGACCTAAGAGAGATCTAGTGGGCACGTTCTGATCCAAGAGGAGGGGCTTGGAGTCAGCTCTGCTGCAAGAGTAGTACGGTCCCTAGTAAGGACTTAATACTGAAGTAGCCACGTCGTACGGCAGTCTCAAAAAACGTATGGCGATTGGAGCACACTGGGAATCTTGACAATTGGGTTCCCATATAGGACAAAGGCAAATAGTAGGTTTCCAGGGACACTATAGATGTGGGAATGGGAAATTGAGGACAACGGTAGACATGCCATTTTTGAAACTAGTAGGTGACGACCAACTCATCACTGCCGCCATGAGCACATGGATGCATGGGAGGCTTTACATGGAATAAGGTGCTCCAGAAGCGACGAGGCAGTTCTACAATGCAATCCTGGTATAGGCAACCGTAAACTATCCATCTGCACAAAGAGTGGGGAATTTCAGTTTCCGGAGCTAGAACTGTCGGACTACATGGCGAGAGAGTGAGAGTAGAAAAGATATCAGGCAGAGTCTGATTCCTGGGATGGGTGGCGTTGAGCAAAAAGTTTCAATAAAGATCCAGTAAAGACCAATACAACGCAGGGTCGATGGTTAGCTATAAGATTGTTCAGAAGACCAGACAGGAATTAACCGTTGTGGTTAACACGCTTGAGAAAATAACAGGAGCGAGGAAACCCGTATAAAAGGCAAACCTCTAGCAAAAGAGACCGTCAACTTTCAGTCGGCAGTCTTCCTTCACCCCCCGGAGCCTAGTGAGGTGCTTGTAAACTCTGTGCCTCCAGATCCTAACCTTTATTGCCCGGTCTCAAGTGGGTGCACTTGATGCAAACTTCTGTGGTTCTAAACTCCGTAGGTTTCGCGAGAGCAGCGCTTTTAAAGGCACAGTTCACGATAATTTTGGGTAATCCAGATTATGACGAGAAATGGAATATAGTATGAAAAGAGTGCGATGAAGGCGAAGGAGCTGCGTTGATCGGTGTTTCTAAAGTGAAAAAAGGCTTCGGAAACCTGTTGAAAAAGGGCTGGACGAGAATGAGACCATCAGAATGAAGAAGTGTGAGGTTTTTGGACGAGCAGTACAGTACGCTTCATTGCGAACGTGTAGGTCCTAATGCGAATAACTGACTAGGGTGAGCAAAAATCCATCCATTCGTGAGCACAAGTTAACGAAAACACCCTAATGACAGCAGAAAAAGCCCACCTTTTTTAGGCACTTCAGGTAGAAAATTATAAATAAGAATCGCAAAAGCAAAAAAATAAGAGAGAATAAAAGAATGGGAGAAAAACATCGCCTCATCAGTCTACGATCATCTGATTGTGTGTGGGTCCTAAAACGAATATTGCGATTTGTACCGCTGCAACTCTCGTCTGACGTGACGGTACGGGAAGTCCGGGCGATACGGTAACAGGGCTCCCACTATGCCCTAGCTGTTGGGATTTAGGATTTGACAGCGTCATTCCTGTTACCCTTGAGGGCCATTGGATATCCCCAGAAGAACTCGAAGAGCACTTTTATCGTGAATTTGTCTACTTCTCCATTATCTCAGAAACTCTCCGTAGTGTACAATCCGTTGGTGGATTTCTTTTGAGTTTTCGTTATGTCGACTTTTTCTCAATCCTATTGTATGTTTGTCGTGTTGATAAATGTTCGAATCTTTTTGTAGCGTCTTCCATTAGTAATAGCACAAACATCAGGCGTAGCGTCAAAGTCGATAATGAAGGGACATCACAATGTATCGTTTGTTTTGTGAAGAATACTGGGGGTGCAGCACACCGTTTCAGTTCACTCGCAGGAAAAAGAGAAGCCTGGAAAAAGCCAGGCAGTAAAACTTGTTCATTTTACAGTCAATCAGTGATGATAATGGAATTATCCGCATATGCTCATTAATCGTGTATGAAAGCAACAGTTGACTTTTGAGTTTTCACAGCTATTTAGGATCGAACACACTTAGCCGCGGAAGAGTAGATCATTTTCAAATTATTACCCACCATTACTTGACTATCCTTAAGTCCACCATTAATGGTTTTTACTCGAATCGCTTAATACGGCATGAAGTTTTGTAGAGATGCGAAGGAAAGCCGCAACTAAACCGCCTTAAGGATTAGTGGCTCTGCGATCAGTAAATACAATACTCACTCTAACGAGTAACGAGAACTGTTGTGAAGCTTCGACTTGGCACAATTAGCCTCCGCCTTAGTTCCTTAATTACTAAGATACTGGAAAAGAACAATCAGAGTCATAAGTTCCGTTTTATTAGGCCATACTTGAAAGCAAAGTATACAAGGATTTGCGAATCATTGCGACGGTTAGAATTATCTTTTAATAGATTTATTCAATATATTGCCAACATATAAAAATGTGTATACTTTGAAACAGCTTCTCAATAATGTTCGACACGTTCACACAAAAAATCCACACATAGGATTACAGGTAGGTAGTTGTCTTACAACAAAAGTTTTAGAATGAAAGTCAGGTGGAGAAGGCCTCGCAAGAAGTAACTGGGGAGGGGTTCAGCTTGAAGAAACGAAGCATTGGCAAATTGCAAACCTACAGACTAAATACAAGCAACTGATGATCAGAATAAAAAAAATTAAATTCAATAGGGAAGGTGAAGGAAAAAATCGTGATTTGATCACATACTAGTAGCCTAAACAGCAAGAAAAATAGGAAGATCAAAATTCATGCACGAAAAAGAACTAATATAAATTCGAACGAGCTGATATGTGTGTGCTCGTTCAGAGTTTACTTACAAAGGAAAATTCCTTTTTTTCATGCAGAGTTTTTCATGTGGATGTTTACGGTGTAGTCGTTATCTAACAAGCGCGAAGGCATTTCGTCATGCTTGCCATTCGATTTGGTCACACATACAAGAATAAAATATAGAAGTTTAAGAACATAAAAACCTCTTCGGAAATGATTAAAATCCTTCTACAAACGCTCTTATTGCAGGAAATATCTTCGCGCGTGTTTGCCCGAGTTCTCACCCCAGGTTAACGTAGTTTTATGAATCCGCCTAATACTAGGGCTAGTGAGAAGAGGTACCCTCGATGGATATTGGGAAATGTTTCGTACGTTTGGCCATGGGCTACACTTTGTGCAGTCACCATAAGCTCTCTTCAAACTTTATCCGATTTCCGTGGAGTGGATGAATGATGAGCTCAGCAGCGACGCGCATCTCGTTTGTACGGAGAAGCGAAAGCACACGGAGATGTCGCATCAACAGCGCAAGTATGCATTTTTCTTCCATCATGGCGAAGCGTTGGCCTAAAAGGCTAAATAGTTTTTTATTTTGTAATAGTGATGAAGAGCTGTTCTTCAGACAATGAACTTCAGCCACATAATATGCATAAACAAGATATAATAGCTATTTCTCTGAAAATCGCATGAATGGGGAAGAAACGGAGTGAAGCAGCTCGTAAAGCAAGAACAAGAAGATCGAAGCACACTGTCATCTATCGTGGCAAAACCAGCTACTAGAGTATTAAAAATATGCTCGTTGCTGTGCCCTTGGACTGAGTATCTTCCACATTGCTTTCAACATTTAATATCACAACCCTGTGTTTTCACATTTGCACGCACGTTTCTCTGTGCTTCTAGCCCTGAAATTTGTGAGAGTTTATTCTAAACGTACCTATGCAATTTCTGCTGCCAGCTGGAAATGGAATGTAAGCGTAGGGATGTTTCAGCTCTCCATCAATGAATCGTTCAGGCCGGAATACTTGTGGATCGTTCCAGTATTTCGGATCGCGATGCACCATCGACGGCACCACCACAACACCAGTTCCCTCCGGCAGAACGTCGTCTTCTGTAAAATTCCAGATTCCTCTGGTGTTAGTGCATTCTCTCAAGCTTTCGTATTACTTCGAGAATTTGGCCTCATAAGAGCTAACTTTTGCGAATAGAGACTCATTCATTATAAGACCGTAATACTCAGGCTTCATAAAGCTCTCCAGATTCCTATGACATGTGTAAATTTTAATACAATGGACAAGTAAAGAGTGAAAGGATATCTTGATGTGAAAAGTTGTGTTAATGTGGTTAGTGTGATTTTTCTGTAACTCACTTTGTTTTCTGTTTCTGCCTTTTCTCTGTATTTTGGAATGTTCGGTTGTTCTTTTCTGCTTTACTTTCAGAAGTGCGGCCATCCTATCCTCGACTAAACGTAGCTGCTGATACCACCAAAAAGTCTACTGCACATTAAAGAAAACGCGAAGCTGGGCTGTGTCTTGCGTCTATGGCACGTGCCGCCAAGAGCTGTCCACTTGTGTTCAGTATACTAATGTACGCCTCGAAAACAAAATTGCTCTTCCCTTCGCCTCCTGACAAATCATGAAGTGATCGTGCCCAGATTTCTGTTTCCGGCGAACTCCATCTCACACCTACTTATTTTTTCGTTTTTTCAATCAGAGTTAATGATTTACACTTGCTAGCTCTCGCATGTTCCTGACATAGATCGTCCTCTAATCCATTGCACTTCAAATGATTCAACTCTATCAAAGCTAATGTCAAAATACCTTAATTAAAAGTTGAACAAATGTAAAAATATGCATCAGAAAGAGATTACGAACAGAAAACACATACATGCAATCGTACCTGGATACATACTTACAAATAAACGAGGCTGATCACCGTATGTTGAATGTTTTGGCAAATGCAGTGGGTATGTATTGGGTTGTCCGAAAAGTCTTAGTCTCCGATTTTGTTTCATCTTTGAATGAAAATTCTAGAAGAAGTAATCCATTGATTGAACACTATATCATCCATTCTGTTCAGTAAGGATTCGCCATCTTCCTGTAGGTTCCAGTTTCCCACTTTCGTAGAAGGTTCCAAACTTAAAATCGAAAAACTCTCTCAGGTGCTTTTCGTAGTCCTCCAGCGGAGTGAACAATTTTCCATTCAAATAATTTTGCAGAAACCTAAAAAACGGGTATTTTGATGGTGCTATGTCCGGGCTATATAGGGACTGTGGTAAGACATCCCACCCAGGCTTTAGCAATTTTTTACGAGTGCCCAAAAATACGTGTGGTCTCGAGGTACCTCGTTGGAAGATTACGTCCTCACGATTGGCCAGTTCGGGTCACTTCTGGTCTATCCGCCGCTGCCTCCAAATTTTCTAGCTAACTATAGTTTCTTTCTGAAGTCTTCGTTTGATAATGCGACAACAGCTCCCCGGAATCCCACCAGCAACTCAGCATGGTCTTCCGCACCTAGATTGTGACTTTTGCAGCGGTTTGTGACGGCTCACTAGAGAAGCTCCACGATCGTTACCGCTACTCATTGTTGTACACGATCCACTCTGTACTCACCCCTGGGTTTCAAAAACAGCTCAGTTTCATTTCATTTGAGCAAGGAGTCGTACACGGAGGCGCGGTCCAACATATTGCGCTCGGTCATTTCGTGAGGTATCTGAACATCAAGGCGCCTAACAAGACCAAGGTCCAGCAGATGATCATGGATGATCGATTTCGTAGCATGGAGCATTTGTCCTACTCCACGAGTAGTGATGTGCCGATTCGCTTCGGTTCACATTTTGATTTGGTCGTTGTAACTGATGATAGTCTCCTTGGAGGTTGCCGGTCTTCGAGGGCAAATTCACTGTGATTGGATTTCGCAAACTAGTCACGCACTGTACATTTTTTTAGAGCATGGTCTAGTCAAACGTCATATATATATATGCACTCTAGGCCTTGTGGTAGAAGATACACTTCAGATGCCGAATATGAGCGCAGTGCTTCTCCATTTCCACAAGTGCCCTGAACAGTTAAACGTTGACAAATGTTGACAAAGTCTTAGAATTGATATAGAGAAAGACCTACCTTTCCATAAAACATAACTTTATGAGGTTGGGCCCTTGGTTTTATGTACAACAGTTGACAAATCCGGGGTATCGAAAATCGGCGGAAACTTTTCGGGCAACCCAATAAATCAGTGAAGTGCTTTCTTCCTTCATGGCGGCTTTTCAATGTTTTTACTTTCACCCGAATTACACTCTCTCCGGTATAGTTCTTCCTGCTTTTATTCCACCCAAGCTTAGTCTCACGAGCATTTCATGCTAATCTTTCTGATCATTCCAAAAAGACAGACTAATCCAACCTCAGAGTAACTAAACATGTGCTCATTTGACGAGTTATTATTTGGTTCATATTCTATATGCGAGGGAAATTGTACTGTAATCGAGCGTGAAAAAGTATATATCATGATGAACTTATTAGTGTTATATGTGATTCTCTTCTGAGGTGATAATATGCCGACAGAATGCACGATTCTGGCCTGGATGGTACGACCGTGTCTACGCGCGAACCAAAGCATTGCTAGTAAGCTCGACCTATACCTCGACAGAGCCAGGATTACTCCTAAAGGGCGTCTGAAGCTTTCGTTTTTTCTGAGCTTTTCTGACTCCTTGCATGATGACTCGAAATTAGCTGGTTTCATCCCGACCAAGCATTCAATCTGGAGACAAAATGCAGACCGACCAACATTGGCCGACCGGCTCAACACGTTGTACGTGTGAGTGCTGATAAGCTATGGTATATAAGCCATTTAGAAGGCGAGGGCATGCGGGGTCTCGGTAGTGCAAGGGATAAGAGCACAGTCCCCTGAAAGGACAAGTACGGGTTCGAGTTCCGTCCGAGACTGGAGTTTTGCCTACGAATCGCCAACTTGTGAAACTTTCGCTTCGCACACTGCGGCGTTAAAACAGCAGTTAACAAAACATCAAGTCAAAAAGGCAGACCCCTCTTCTTCGCGGGACAAATGCTGGAAACGAAAAAGAACAAACGTCTACCTGAGGTCCCCGCTAGAAGGGAAGCCTCCTTCACCCTCTCCCCAGATAATACAGAGAGAATTTTGAGAGCGATCCTCCTGAAAACTAGTTCGTTTCAGTCGTTCTTCGTTTGACTTACTTTTACGAGACTTCAACACATTCAGAACTCAGCCTAGTTCAGATAAATTCTGTTAAATATGAAACACTTCGTGAAATGCTCCTAGAACTCAACTTACTTTGAGAGTATATCGTACGAGTGCTACTTAAACGCACAGTTCACTGTAACTCGAGGGCTGGAAAGCCTCGCTTTTCCGGGTCCGGGAACTCCTCCCTTGTCACGGCGTCGCACACGCCGCACCCGCCGCGTATCGCAGGATTGCGATGGAAGATTGGAGCGCGCAATTCGTGAGGTACGAAGTCCTTTAATTATTTGAATTGGCTGACCGCTTTCACCAATTTCAATGCAGTCTTGATCGCCGCTTACATAGGAGAAGTCATTTTAATTAGTCAAGTCTGATAAACATGAAAACGAAAAAGAAACAGAAGAAAAAACGATCCAATCCAATAAAAAAGCAAGGCAATCAACGAAAAGTAAAGCGCCCTATCGATTGGCGGGGAGGCAGGCTGAGTACGGTAATTGCAGTGACATTTGCCGCATGCCGCAAGGGAGAATGCCGCGATAGGGGAGAAGTTCCGTTACCCCGCTTTCCGCCCCTCGATCGATGTCACGTCAGACGACTGTCGAGACAATACAGGTTGCAACTATTCACCGTAGGACACACACACACAATCAGCTGATTGCCGAGTGATGAGGCGATGTTTTTCTCCCACTCTTTTTTCCTCTGTTATTCTTTTTGCTACCACGAACCCTTATTAAATTTCCTTCTAGAGGCCGAGAAAGGTGAGCTACTTTTGCAATTACTGGGGTTTTTTGTTTTCTTGTGTTTATAGGTGTATGAACTTTTGCTGACCGTAGTCTGCTTTTCGCACCAGGACGCACACGTACGCAGTGAGACTCAATGTATAGGTCGTCCAAACGTCCCACTCTTCTTCATTTTTCTGGCCTCAGTCCCGTCCAGCCCCCTTTCCCAATTTTTTGAAGCCCTTTTCCAGTTTGGCAATACCGATTCACGCAGTTTCTTCACTTTCATCGCACTATTTTCGAACTTGCCTTCCATTTTTTATCATAATCTGGATTACCCAAAATCTTCGTGAAATGTGCCTTTAAGAAAGCCATGCCTTCCAGTCATTAAACTAGCATTTGGTGATCACATTCAACATTCATGTCCTCATTCACCTAAGATGGTTTAAGCAACCAATTCTCAAAGGCTTTTTGATCCACCTTGTTTTTTTCTACATAGGAATTATGCTAATAGGGTAGAGGTGCAACGACTCCTTTGGGAGACGGAGTGCAACGAATTTATACTCACTTACCTTTCAGATCTCAGTCCCTTCAACCAACGATTATTCTCAAACTGTTTTGATGAACCTGTTCCGCTGAACATATGACAGCGAAGGCTTAAGTGCGCAACTGTTCGCGTCAGCACGCACACGGAAATGACCACCGATGAAGAACTTTAACCAATAGAAAGATGTAGCTAATTTGAATGTGCCTTCCATATTCCTGAATGCTACTTCGTAGCTTTCAACTCAGAACACCCAGTTCCTTTACGCCAAGCAAGAACATCTGAAAGCCTGCTTCTCTTGTCGTCGGAACTGGCAGAGCACTGAACGGAGTAGGGTTATGACATGCTGACTTCTGATTAGGCTTCAGCAGGGTGGATCATTCATGTGCGGGCGATGAACTCATTAAAGAGTCGCAAAAATTCGAATAGACGTCACAGCTAACCTCACCGATTAAAAGACGTCTCTCGAGACTACCGTAGCGAATCAGGTTATGCAAGTCCTACGCGAACATATAATAATATTCCTAGTCGGTACGTGAAGATACTTCGCTAGGTGCTCAGTAACTTACAAGGGAAGGTCGCAGCGGCCATTCAAGATGAGATGTATACCCCGTAGGTGGCTTTAAACACTGATCTCAAATCTGTGTTCCAAATCTGCGAAACGATTCTGGGAACAAAGTTGCGAGACCGATGAATTCCCTGTGTTATGCCACTGTACCGAACGGAATAAAGCCGTACGTATGCAACTGTGGCGCAGCTGGTAGGACGGTGTTCTGGTAGGCATGACATCAAAGTATGATTCCTAGATGCATGCGCTTTTTTTGCTTTTCCACGTAGTGCCTCCCAAACGCTTGCAAAACGTTTTGGTTGCTCAGGCTTACGAGGCTACCATCGTGCCCATGTTAGGCAAGTGCAAGGCTCTCTCACGATTTAAGAGTCCGGGAAATAGTAAACCGATAAAAATTTCTTACTTCAACCGACCGAACATATACCTCTCTCTACCCCGAACAGTCAAGATGATGTTTCGAAATTTTCGGCAGCTCCCTGCACTTACGGTGGACGACGGTCGAATGACACATACAAGTACAGCCCTCTTTGGAAGGGATAGGTCATTACATTCTTGGAATACTGTCCGTGCTTTAGAAGGGGCGGTCCAGGTTAACTGGCATTGCTTAGAAAATATTGTAGAACAATGGGTGATCGCTTGTGTGTACCGGTAGAACGAGTCAACCCATGATGTCCGCATGGCTTCAAGGTTTTTATGGCATGCGTAAGTTATGTTTTGAGAAACTGTTTTCAAGCCGGTGCGGCGCTTTACCGTGACAATTTGCAAGCGTGATTGTTGAACGACCACGCAAAAGGCTTATATCCAGGTGTTAATTATCATTTCGAATGTGCTTGCAGAATCATGAAGCTATTGTAGTCACTCAAAAAATCTGAATGTTTTTTCCACTCGCAGGGCTCTGCCACGTTAATTTCGACCATGCGGAAATGGAAGATCTTGTTATTAATCACGTTGCATGTCCTTTTAATAATGCTCACTTCCATTTCAGGGGAAAAACTAGAGGGTCATTGTGCCTTCCAAAAAGTATCGAAACTTCCCGAGCTATCGAAGATTTTGCCACGTCAACCTGACAATGTATTACTGGTGTCAATAACGTCGTCAATAACATGCTCGATTACGTTTCCCCACTAATTACAAATGCAAGCGTATTTAAGGGACGCAGTTCATTGTGGTGATCATGGAAAGGTATCAAGATGTTTCTGTGCAAACGCTCTTTGCATTAACGGTATGTTCGCTTTCCTTTACACTTTTCTAGGAAAATCGTCCAGTATAAATAAACAGGTTCTGGAGTCCTCGGTGGTTCCAGTCCATGTCGCAACGAAAGCTCTTCAAGATGGTGAGTAGTCCTACGGGCAATATATGCTTTCTAAAGAGCTCTGGAAGAAAAAGATGTTGTTTGTTCGACACCATGCTCCATTGAAAGTTTTCAACTGTCAGAAACTCCTGATTACTCTTCAGAGTACCTTCAAAGGAGTTCATCAAAAAAGTAGTCCAGCATAGGTATGCGAGGAGCATGGCAGTTATGACACTAAGTCATGCACAAGTAGTGTATTTGCTATAAGTGCTATCGTTACGATAATTTTGAGCTATTTCGGCCACACGGTCCTTGTCATCATCAGTGAATCACACCACGGTATTGATTAAGTTCACTAGCGCTCTCTTTCAATATAGAATTTTAACAAGTATGTAGTAGAGCCCTGTTGAAGTAATTAGGAAGCATCATTGACTTCCTCATACAATACTAGTGAGGTGAAAAGTGTCGTATGATTGAATGACAGCAACTTTGCAACTAGCTCGAAATGGGTCCAGATGAGTAGTAAGCACATTGGTGGAGCTTGCATGAAATAGGCCTCCAAATTTCAAAGATGAGAAATGAAGCATGGAAGTGTCGGGGGTAAGAAAGAATAAAACAATAACTGCGTCCGGTATAATCATTGTGAGAGAAAATTTATATGATTTTTAAGTTTGCACTTCAATAGACGACGACTATAGCTAGTTAGCATTCGATTGATGTAGTACATCTCTGCAGTATTTGCCCTGGCTTGAATTCCCTCTCTTCAGAATCGAAATAACAACATCTTAGTGATGACTTGCTTTTTCAACTGACACTTCAAAAACCCTTCACAAACATTTCATGTTTCTTATGCCCAATATTCTTGATTTGTTGTCCATGAGGTTCTATTAGACTTCTTCCGTAGGTGTGGTATTTGAGAGAAAATCCTTTCGATAGNTTGCACTTCAATAGACGACGACTATAGCTAGTTAGCATTCGATTGATGTAGTACATCTCTGCAGTATTTGCCCTGGCTTGAATTCCCTCTCTTCAGAATCGAAATAACAACATCTTAGTGATGACTTGCTTTTTCAACTGACACTTCAAAAACCCTTCACAAACATTTCATGTTTCTTATGCCCAATATTCTTGATTTGTTGTCCATGAGGTTCTATTAGACTTCTTCCGTAGGTGTGGTATTTGAGAGAAAATCCTTTCGATAGAGCTTGTTAATATGAGAATCATTGCAGAATTCAATTGCAAGATCAATGGCACCACCATGACGCCCGAGAAACGAAAACTTTCTGTGTATCTGGCTAACGCTTATCGTACAATCGCAACAACCGGCGTATTTGGGTATCCACCTAGTCAAAACATGTATCAGCTGGTGAGTGGGTGTTCTACGGTGTAAGTGCAGCGATATGCACTGCGTTAAGAAATGAAGCAGGAGCTATAAGTAGAGGTGAAACTGCCATCAAGAACACACTTCAATTTGTTCTGGTGAGTATGTGAACTCCACTACAACATATCCAATTTCTTGAGTTTTGTGCTTGTAAATGCACTGTCCTTCAAATATCAAGGCCCTTGTAGTCTTCGAACCGCTACGCTATGCAGGGCGCCAATGGCTGTAGACAAAAGTCGGTGTTCTATGCTGAGCGAAAAACTTTTTAGAACTATTCCTGCTTGGCTGAGGAGTACGCTATGATGCTCTGCAATCAACAAGCACCACTCAATCCTGTTGGGTAGTTTATTTTTTGTAGCTTTGTTAAATGGTAGAGTTCGAGCAAATATCACACAAAAGTTTAAGAAAACTTTCTCGTAATCCAGGAAGCTGTCCTCTGACCCAATAGCAGCAGAATTTGAATTGTGGTGGGGCAATCACGACTTTGGTGCCTTTATCAACAGCACTGCCGTGTACAGTCCTAATTTTGACTACACCGTATTTTCGCAAGTGAGTTCAGCCAGTGAGCCCATCTTGAATGTATTTTTGTAGGCAACATGAGTGTTTTTTTCAGATGGTTTCGGGGTACGCTGTCAGTATAGGGTGCACCGATACGTGCTATGGCCAAAAGCAGGTGTATTGCGCATTCGATGTCTGGTTATTTTGATTTGAGCTTTGACCTCATTTCAGAGTATTATAATCAGTACTAAGTATTCTTTCTTTTGCTCCCCCTTCTTCTCTTTTCTTAAGACTCAAAAAATAAACGAAGAAGAAGTGAAAATGCATCTTCAGAACTTGTGCGCTTTCGTAGCTCTGAGTGTAGGGCTCCAATTTTCAATCGTGCTCCTTTTCCGCCTATTGGCTTGCATATATTTCAAGCAATTTATTGGCAAGAAATGACTAAATAAACAAATTTGGTTTGCACAGATGTTCCTCGCCTTTTCCTACTGATCCAGTGTGTTATCTTGGGATGTGGCATGACATAAACAATCGAAAAAATATGCTAGCTCTTAGCCGTTCACCATCTTCGCTCACCTGAGCTGCCAATTGGTTTCAAGGATTTACTTTGATTTCTTATCCTTTACGGTTCACTCAATGCGGATTTTATCGAGCGGATTTGCACCTCCAGAAATGTTGCAAGGTTAAATTGAGCTGAAGCATATCGTGTTATCTACGTAGCAGCACTTGAAATAACACACTTCCCGGACATCACTGTAGTAATCAACCGCAAGCCATTTTCAGTTGCAGTTTTCATTTTTTCTAGCACAGCCATGACTTACTTCGGCATGATCTATGAAGTCGGATCTGGTCCATGTATGGTCGACAGCGACTGCACCACGTTCTCTGGTTCAACGTGCAACACGAAAAATGGACTGTGCATCAAAAACCCAAACACTCCCCTTTGCCCGTCAAAAGTGTAACAAGCCCACTCTCACAACTACAGCAATCACAACTACTTCCACTGCTGTTTGCTTCACATAGCCATTTTTATGTCAAAGAGAATAAACAGTGCATCGTAAGGAGAGCCATTGTTATGCTTTATGTCGGGAGTAGTAAAATGCACTGAAGACGAAAGTTTTGCAAGCACAATATCTGAGGAGGATAGTCCATGTATGAGGTTTGTCGGTAAAGCAAAACCAACGACGGTTGTCTATAGAATTCACTGAAGAAGGTTTCGCTGTCGCCACGATATTTCGTTATTATTTAAATGTATGGCACATCGATGCTGCCTTCTGAAAGAGGAACTAGTAAAGGACATTCTCCCAAGGGAAAAAGGACAAAGGTCAGAAAGGAAGCATTTGAATACGTGTCAATCATGTATGCTGGTTGTTCATCGATCGCCCAATGTGCGCAGTCGTGAATGAAAGCACAGAACATTTTTTCTAAAGCGCTAACTTTCCTCTGCCTCCCATCTTGCCGGACTTCATTTCTGAACCACGCTTACTTTTCTCTTCTTAGAGTTACCCCGTGTGTCCTCTTGCGTTTCCTTTACACAACGTATGCCGGACATTTGCAGCTGAATTCTTCGCCAGCCTACGATATAACATTTTGGTCACTGCATTATATGGTTGGTGGCTGCCACCGCGGATTGCTGTAAAAGTTTGGTCCATCGGTCTAATAGTGTTACACGACGACATCAAGGGTTCTTACCCCTATACCAATGAATCTTTGCAAATCTCTCTGAATCTGAATCTCATTGTGGTTCACATCGATTTGAAAAATAGAAGCCAACATTTATGGAAACTTATCCTGAACAGCGTCGTTTCGCCCAAAACGCTGATGGCAAATCTCTAAGACATGGAGCAGTGTCAGAAAAATGCTAATGCTCATTGCCTAGAGTCACACAGTATCATCGAATCGATCATAAGGAGCATACAGTAGACAGAATTTACCTGAAATAGTCTGCAGCCGTAGATAAGCAGCAGAAAAGCTGTAGTGCTTGATTAAATAGTCGGTGCAGTGTGAGTTTCCGCACTACAGCGGATGCGATGCAGGCAAAGTTGATTTTGAGGGAAAACGCTACAGAAAAACTCATATGCTGGAAATGCTACTCGGAAATACGTTATATTGGAACGTCGCAAGGAAAAACTGCTGGGTATGTGTCAAACAAGCGCAGGCTCGAATGAAGCCGATGCACAGCTCTCGTGCTAGCACCATCTTTCAGAGCAGTTCCTAACCACAGACCTTATTTCACCACGATTCAGGTCAACAATCACATAATGGAAATTCCGTGGGATATGAAAAGCCAATGTACATAGTACGGCAAGAAAGACTTCGCATGCCAGAGCCAACAACATTAATTTTTTGTTCCGAGCTTATGAATTTTGGAAGCTCCTCAACAGAAGGTCGGCAAAAAGTTCAAATCAGTAAAATAAGCACTAATAAAGTTATCAGAGCTACGTAGGTTCAAATACGCTGACACTCATCTCATTAGTACACTGGAGAGGGAGGATTTTGAACAGATAAATGCTGTGATAGCCTACCCGAATCAGAATTCGAAAGAGAATTCTGCATGTTATTTCTTGTATGGCGATCTGTACTTTTAATTCACGGACGTTTGCTTCCGCTGCACGCTGCATTTGAGACTGGAGAAGAGCTATTCCTTGGAACATGCCATAGTAGAGGCGTTGGCGGTTTAGGTGTCCTCGTCAATGTGCACTTGGCCATGAACATCGATTCGTACGCGAGCCTAACAACCCAAATCGGACATTTGCGATTAAGAAGGTGTGGCTCAGCTCTGACAATGTTGTTGAACCGACATCGAGCTACGGACGAGGGGAGATGGAAGCTTTTATATGGACATGGATGGACTTTACAGAGAAAATCATACTTTGTTCAAGGTCATCGTCGGTGGTTCTATGCCAACAATGTCCCCAGAAGAACGCTCGAGAGTTCCACGTCGTGAATCTTAAAATAGAATGGAAAGAACTAGGTTAACGGCTGTCCGAGTTTGTCACGTCGGCCCACACTATCCACGGTAACGAGCAGTTCCAGAAGCCCTCTCATTCCCGTTGGACATGGGTTCACGTGGTGGACAGTTCAGTAATGAAATACAGGGTGTTCCAAAGTTATGGGCGCCATTTCATAGCAATATATTTGAGGCTTACCAGCTGCGAAAGACGGTGGAATTACTATGCACGTTAGCTGATACCATTTGCTTTAACACGCTACAATCACATTTCAAAATACCCCCCACTAGCGCGGAAAGTCCCCCAAAGTTTGCTCCCGACCTGATCGCATGTGGCACGCAGGTATCCTTCTCCATTTCTTCACAGCCGTTCTCCAGTCTTGCGTTCTGGGAATCCAAACTGGGACTGCAAACTCGACAGGTCCTCTTCTAATCAGGGACCGCACGGAGGAATCAAGTGAGTTAAGTTCTGGAAAATAGGATGGCCATCGCTTTTTACCGATGACGCCGGGCAGCTGTCGTCGGTCGACCACCCGCGGGCAAGCTTGGCTGGTCGACCGTCGTGGAGTAGCGTCCTGTTGGGAGGACTAGGAGATGTTTCACAGGGATTAGTCAGTGTTTTGTTACATCCATCAGTACGCTCTTTGAGTGCTGGTCTTGGTCAATGACTCCTTCAAAGAACATCAATATATTGCTCTTATAGCAATCTTTTTGTGAGGAGTTGCACATTAGATGTTTCTTTCCGAGTGCGGAGCTTTTGTTGTTGAGGCATGGTTCTTATTGATCGTAAAAAAATTTTGGCCAGAGAAAACGGTGAAGGGTTGCGTGTCATCACCCAAGTGGGACTACGACTTTATGTATTCTTTGGCCCTGCAGTGCCTGTAGAGATCAAAATTGAAGCGGAACTTCTGCATACGGTAGAATGGCAATGATGCTTCTGCACGGAATTTTATAATGTCCTTCCACCTCTCGCGTCCGCTGATTCTGCTGATTGCAGGTGGCATTGAATGGGCCATCTGAAAAAAAATATTGGGAGTTTCACATCAGTAACAATGCATATTGCAAGTGGACCTTCTTACGCAACTACTTAACAACAGATAGTGTGAATCTGATAGATTATTTCTTCCTCGGAAATTTCTGAATTTTGGCACCCACATTTTTGGGACACCTTGCAGGTCACACCATCGTCAACCGAACGTTTCGCCTGACTGATGACGCTGTTGTTCCGAACTCCTATACGGGTTTAGACCGTCGTCTCCTCCGCGCTAGATTTCGCATTTCAGTGTGTGGAGAGAGAGCTATGAATTCAGAGAATGAAGCTCCATTATCTTCACCGACTGCCGAAAATATTACTCGGATCAGAGTGAAAGACTCGAGCTGGGTTTGAATAAGAAGGTCTGTATATAATAGGAATATTGGCTTTGGTAGTTATATCAGTTCTGATTATTTACCAAGTGTCAAAGTATGACAAAAATGGTAAATGAGCAATCTACACTGTGCACACTACATCTATGAATTTCGCCAAAATTCGCGTTCCAGAGCAGTTCAGGAAAATGTCTACTATGAGAATAGTGCCCCGTATGGACCGTAACTTGTAGACCAACAATGATCCATCTCAGCGACATGGACAACTCAGCCTCATTTTTCTCAGAGAAGGTCCCTTTGCCTATGTTGTCAAATCATACAGTCACCAAATATTTTCTTGTCGTTTTTCGTTTTCACTGCACACAATTGCTCTATTTGTGTCAAGTTTTCCAATTTTAGCTAATTGGTAAAGGAAAGTTGCCATTCGATTATGGATGGGCGGCAACTTCTCGTTAACGTCTTCTTTTATTGTTTGTTCCGAAGAAGCTCAATTATTTCGATACCGAGTAGCGGAATGCCAGGCTCTTCTCCCTTTTAGGTGTCAAAATCGGCAGCAGAACTTCGTATTCATGCAGGATAATGCCCCGACTCAGTCAGATTCACGAGAAGAAAGATTTGTGGAAGAAACGAGCAATTGGAGGTATCAGTGAGCTGGGTAGTCAAGTTGACCAGGAACTCATTTATAGCCTTTACTTTGGCTCAGACAATCGTATTTTCGAGGCGATTCGCGGGAACGGGGATACAATCAATCACTAATCACGCAACGTCCTCTCTTAATCGAGCTGCTGAATAAATTGATTTGATCAGTAGCTCTATCATTTGGCAACATAAGCAAAGGGGCCTTCTCCGAAAAATGAAGGGAAAATTGTCAATGTTGTTGAGATGGAACTCGGTGTTGGTTTACAAGTCACAGTTTGAGTAGGGCACAATACCGATATTAGGGCCCTTCCTGAGGTGCCATGGAACGTGAGTTTTGGTGAAATTCATGTGTGGCTGTACAATTAGTGAACGCAGTTATGATACCAGAACTTATGGTAAGTAGTAAAACTGGAAATAGATGAACCATAGATTGGTAACTTGTAATTCTGGAACCCTTTCATTTGTGATAGACTTCACAAAACGTCTCAGAAAACCCCTTGTTCGAGTTCATCGCAATATGAGGATTTGTCGCATTGAAAAGACCACAAATTGCAAACACCGCCAGTCTTCCACCCTTTCAATTCCATTCTAATCCATGAGTTGTGACATTCAATCGTTTTTCTGAAGCTAATCTTGAAGTTTGAAGTGTCGGCGAAAAACGTGAAGAAGGTATTTTTCACGTTTGACCATATAATTTTAGCCGAGTGCCTTCCTAGACTCCGACATGAAAAAATGGCTATGCGCTGAGTTATGCTATCTTGGAATAGACAGGAATCTTGTTCGACGGCTCGAAGCGCCCCTTTCTTAGCTGCTCACATGGTAGCCTTCGGTTGAGTTTACATGCAGGATACCAACCGCACCTGCCTATTAGTGGGATTCTCATAAAATATAAATAAGTAATTTTCACTGAGGATAATTATCTATCAGTTCCCCTTTCATCAAAAAGACCTAAAACCAATGCTCAACGTGTGGCCCCATGCTCACGGAATCTACAACACGGATTTACCT